GAGTGGTGCTGACCTTCAGGATGCCGGAGTTGACAAGTTCACTCCTGCAGGTCAGCGAGTGACCCACTGCACGTGTGCTCAGACGGGCCGTCGACCGGGGTCGAGCCTGTACACACTGACCACAGAGTCTCCTCCGGTTGCTGCGTCTGGTCAGGTAGCTGCGTCGAGTCAGGTGTTTGCTGTAGCGTCTCGGTCAGGTCCTGAGTCTGCCCCCTGCTCGTGTCGCCTCCTGTCCCACCAGACCCTCCTCTGGCACCACCGCCTTGGTCACCCCTCCTTGCCTCGTCTCCGAGGCATGGCCTCCCGTGTCCTTGTCCCTGGTCTCCCCCGGTCCCTCCCTCCCCTTCCCCCGGGGCCTGCCCCTACCTGCGTTCCCTGCGTCGAGGGGCGGCAGCGCGCCGCTCCTCACTCCTCCGAGTTTCCCCCGATAGAGGCTCCGCTGCAGACTCTTCACATGGACGTGTGGGGCCCAGCCCGCGTCCGTGGACAGGGTCACGAGCGTTACTTCCTGCTGGTGGTTGACGACTACTCGCGTTACACCACCGTCTTCCCCTTGCGCAGCAAGGGTGAGGTCACTGAGGTGTTGATCGACTGGATCCGCGTTGCTCGTCTCCAGCTCAGAGAGCGTTTCGGCTCGGACTTTCCTGTTCTGCGTCTGCACTCCGACAGAGGCGGAGAGTTTTCCTCCGACCTTCTGCGAGCCTTCTGTCGTGCAAAGGGCATCCGCCAGACGTTCACGCTTCCGGCCTCTCCACAGCAAAATGGGATTGCTGAGCGCCGCATTGGCATCGTCATGGATGTCGCTCGTACGTCCATGATCCATGCGGCTGCTCCCCATATTCTGTGGCCGTTCGCGGTTCAATACGCGGCGCATCAGATCAACCTTCAGCCCCGGGTCTCCCTGCCGGAGACCTCCCCTACTCTGCGGTGGACGGGGAAGGTTGGTGATGCGTCTGCGTTCCGTGTCTGGGGATCTCGAGCTTTTGTCCGAGACATGTCTGCGGACAAGCTGTCCTCCCGTGCTGTTCCTTGCGTCTTCCTCGGCTTTCCCCCTGACGCGCCTGGTTGGCAGTTTTACCACCCCACCTCGCGTCGTGTTCTGTCCTCCCAGGACGTCACGTTTGACGAGTCGGTTCCGTACTACCGTCTCTTCCCCTACCGCACTGCCCCCCTCCCCCCCCCGCCGCTCTTCCTCGCTCCCGGTCCCCCCCCGGTAGACCCCCTCCCCCCTCAGGGTCCTGCCCCCTCAGGTGTGTCCCAGGTAGATGCAGTCGAGCCTGTCGAGGTAGCTGCTGACTCTGGTGCGTCTGGGGGTGCTGAGCCTGAGCGTGTGGAGCCTGGGGGTGCTGGGTCTGGGGGTGCTGAGCCTGAGCGTGCGGAGCCTGGGGGTACTGGGTTTGGGGATGCTGAGCCTGAGCGTGCGGGGCCTGGGGGTGCTGCTTCTGGGGGTGCTGAGCCTGGGGCTGCTGGGAGTGGGGGTGTGGAGCCTGTCGGTGCAAGGACCTGGCGCTCCTTCGGGTGCTTTGTCCCGGCGGGAGCTTCCCTCTCCACAGGAGCTGCGCGAGTGGTTTGCTCGCCGCTGGAGCCGTGCTGCTGGAGCTGGAGGTGCTGCCGGTGCTGGAGGTTCTGCTGCTGCTGGAGGTTCTGGAGCTGGAGGTGCTGCTGGAGCCGGTACTGGAGGTTCTGCTTCTGCTGGGGGTGCTGGAACCACGGGTCCCGGAGGTGCTCGTACTGGAGGTACTGGAGCTGCTGGGCCTGGTGGTGCTCCTGGTGCTGGAGCTACTGGTGGAGCTGGAGCTGGTGGTGCTGCTGGAGTGGGTGCTACTGGAGGTACTGGAGCCGGAGCGGCTGTGTCTGCTGGTGGTCCTGCTGGAGCTGGAGCTGCTGGAGGTACTGGAGTTGGTGGTGCTGCTGGAGTTGGAGCTGACGCTGGGGGTACTGGTGTTGTCCCTGCTGGTTCTGGAGGTGCTGCGCGGCCGCGGCCGTACTTCGTTCCGCTCCTTGAGCAGGTTCTTGGTCTTCCGCCTTCTCCTAGTCCTGCTCCTTCCTTAGAGTGTCCTCCGCCTGTCCAGTCCGAGTCACAGTTACAGCTGGTCTCCCCTCTGCCTGCTCCTTCTCCCTACGCTGGTCCTACTGGAGGTCTTGCTGAGCGTCGTGAGCCTGAGTCGCGTCCTGCGTCACCTGTTTGTACTGCTCGCACTAGTCGTCGTGTTCCACGTCCGCGTCCTCCTGCAGTCCCGGGCACGCATCAGATGGCACTGCGTCCTTCCACTGCGCCACAGCGTGTCCCTTTGCCGTCTCTTCCGGAGTCCTCTCTTCCTGCTCTTGCTGAGCCGGCGTCTGACTCCCTTCGTGCTGCCAGTCCTGCTGTCACGCGTTTCCTAGCCACTGTTGTCACTGACCCTTCCTTTGAGTCCACTGCTGCGTCTGCCTTAGTTACCGAGCTTGTCGACTTCGCTGCTCACTGTCGTCTAGACTACGCTGCTAGTCTTGTTGCTGAGTCAGCGTCTGCGTCTGTCTGTCCTCCGTCCGTCGGGGGTGAGTGTGCTCTTAGCACGGACGTCCTTGAGGACCGACAGGAGGAGTTCCAGTGTTTTGCTGCTGCTTTACCTCATCTCGTGTCCACGCTGCTTGCCCCTGAGGGAGACCCGGATGCACCAGACATCCCGACCCCGCGCTCTTACGCAGAGGCGATAGAGGGTCCTTACTCCTCTCAGTGGCAGGCAGCCATGGACGCAGAGATGGCTTCCTGGAAGTCCACAGGCACCTACGTCGACGAGGTTCCCCCACCTGGGGCGAACATCGTCAATGGCATGTGGATCTTCAGGGTGAAGCGGCCTCCGGGTTCTCCGCCTGTCTTCAAGGCGCGTTACGTGGCTCGAGGCTTCAGTCAGCGGCAGGAAGTTGACTACTTTCAGACCTTCTCCCCAACCCTGAAGATGACCACTCTTCGGGTTCTGCTGCACGTTGCTGCTTAGCGTGACTACGAGCTTCACTCCCTTGACTTCAGCACTGCTTTCCTACAGGGCAGTCTGCACGAGGAGATCTGGCTGCGCCGCCCACCTGGCTTCACTGGGTCGTTTCCTCCTGGTACCCAGTGGAGCCTCCGGCGGCCAGTCTACGGTCTCCGCCAGGCGCCACGTGAGTGGCACGACACACTGAGGTCTACGCTTGCGGCTCTTGGGTTTGCTCCTTCCACTGCTGACCCGTCGCTGTTTCTTCGCACCGACACCTTACTGCCGCCGTTCTACATCCTCGTGTACGTCGACGACTTGGTGTTTGCTACAGCTGACACTGCTGGACTCGCCCACGTGAAGTCCGAGCTGCAGAAGAGACACACGTGCACAGACTTGGGTGAACTGCGCAGCTATCTTGGCTTGCAGATCACCCGGGACAGAGCACGGCGCACCATCACCCTGACTCAGTCACACATGGTGCAGCAGGTCCTTCAGCGCTTCGACTTCACGTACTCCTCGCCTCAGGCCACTCCTCTGTCTACTCGCCACTCGCTCTCAGCTCTGCCTTCGGATGAGTCCGTAGAGCCGAGTGGCCCGTACCCAGAGCTTGTTGGCTGCCTCATGTACCTGATGATCTGCACTCGACCTGACCTAGCATACCCTCTGAGCATTCTGGCGCGCTATGTTGCTCCTGGGAGACACCGACCAGAGCACATGGTTGCAGCGAAGAGGGTGTTGCGCTTCTTGTGCAGTACTTCGGGCTTGTGGCTAGTGCTTGGAGGGCGGAGTCCAGTGGTCCTCACTGGTCACGCAGACGCGTCTTGGGTGGACGACTTGGCTACGCAGCGGTCGTCACAGAGTTACACCTTCAGCCTTGGTTCCGGCTCTGTTTCGTGGCGGTCTACCCGCTCGTCTTCTGTTCTCAGCTCCAGCTGTGAGGCTGAGATCTACGCAGGGGCCATGGCTGCACAGGAGTTACGTTGGCTCACCTACTTGCTGACTGACCTTGGAGAGCCGCCTCGTTCTCCTCCAGTTCTGTACGTAGACAACAAGGCCATGCTGGCCTTGTGTCGGGAGCACAGACTGGAGCACAGAACGAAGCACATTGCTCTTCGCTACTTCCTTGCTCGTGAGCTACAGCAGCGTGGCCAGCTGCGCCTTGCTTACGTGGCCTCTCAGGCCAACACTGCTGATATCTTTACCAAGGCACTTCAGCCTTGTGATCATCAGCGCTTCTGTACTATGCTAGGTCTTGTGCCTACTTGGCCTCACTTGCTTACCTCTTGACTTTCCTTGTTCTGTGATCTATATATACCTGTACTTGCTTGTTTACCTTTATATATGAACTTGCATGTGAACTGGCCTTGTGGTCTTTGAACCTGTGCTCAGACTGTGTGGTGACGTTGTGATCCACCCTGAGCTTGCTTTGCTTTGCTTTGCTTGACTGGTCTTGTGACCCCTAGTTCTCCCCCACTTTGCCTATGGGGGTGTGTCAGTTATTTATGCCTTAGCCTATGTAGGCTGTAGTGGGGTAGACACTAAGGGGTACAGCTTTCATATTTGTATCTCACACTTTCCTAGTTCATTCATTCCTGTTGTTTCTTTCTTCACAGTGCGCCTATATCCGGGGTAATACGGTATTACCTTGCTATAATCAATCTCTTGCTCTCACACACTAGTGCAAGTTGGTTCAACAAGTTTACTAAGAACACTTCCGCAATTACAACATTCCTACGGGTCTTAGCCTTGGAAAGATCCTAAGGGCTTTTATCAGCCCAACACGCTTAACCTCTTGCTGTTTCTTTTTGTCAACCGCTTTGGTTGACTCGCTGTTACTTCGCTGCAGTTCGCTTCGCTTACATGTAGTGCTCGACACATCAGAAGCGTGAACTATATGTTTCCAACATAGGGTTCATCAATTTCAAAATTAATTCACCGTGCAGAACGTTCCTCACGACAACGGTATGCTTATGAGACGCTGTGCGAAGAAACCAGTGTATGGATGGCACAGCATGGGGTGGGATGCACCTCCACCACCGTCCCCTACGCCCCAAGCTGCTTCATCAGCTCCGCCCTGCCCACAGCCAGCGCCTCCGACAGCTTCTCCGGCTGCCTGCCCCCCGCCTGTGCGAAATTGGGGCGCCCCCCTCCCCCTCCCCCGCACACTCGCGCCATGGCGCCCGCCAGCTTGCCCGCATTCACCCCCGCCTTCACCACCTGGGGGACATGTGGGAGAGAAGGGGACGCATGGGTGGGGAAGAGGGAACGCAGGGGGACACATGGGTGGGAGCAGGTAACACGGAGGGATGTGGAGAAGGAATGGGCGGTGGTGAAGAGGTTGTTGGCGTGCATTGTGGGGAAGAGGCTGTTGGCGTGCATGGATATAAGGGATGGAAGTGCGGGGAGGTGGAGTGGGAACAGCGTGAGGTGAGCATGAGCGCACTGCAGGCAGCTGCCACTCACCGCAGGGCTCAGCAAGTGGCACTCACCACAGGGCTCAGCAACTGGCACTCACCACAGGGCTCAGCAACTGGCACTCACCACAGGGCTCAGCAACTGGCACTCACCACAGGAGTAGGAGGGTTACTGTATGATCCATGTAACGCATCGCCTTCCTACCCTAACAATCCTAGCTATGACTCTCTAAAGCGCTACCTACGTAAGGTAGCGACTTACGGGAAGAGAAGGTTGGAGGAGGTGAATGGTGATTGGTCCCCAATTGTGGACCACCACCCACGAAAAGACAAGCGTGGTTGGGAACCAACCCAACCTCCACATTGGTTGGAATTCCAACCAATAGCAAGTGAACATTTATGTTACAAGTTACAACATGTAACAAAACAATCCTTATCACAATTCTGTTGCTCTCATTGGTTGCAAATCCAACCATTGTGCCACCTAAGCAAACTCACCCCTAGGAGCTCCTTGCCCTTGTTGCCATGGAGGAAGTGGAGCTCCCCAAGGAGGTCTAGGAGGGGTGTGAGCTAAGCAGGCTCATTCTGAACTCCCAACTTCCAATTAACCAAAATGGAAATGGGATTTTCTCTCTAAGTACAAGACTTCTCCCTCACAAGTGCCCTAGCCTTCAACTACTCTTTTGGTGAAGCTACTCCATCACTCTTAGAGCTTCAACTAACAAGACTTCAAGGCTCAAGGCTAGCTTAGGGACTAGTTTATCTTGTATGTGCTTGTTGTTGGCGTTGTATAAGCCTTCTATAGACCCTTTTTGTGGGCATTTGCTATAAGTCCGGGTTTTTATTGTGATTTGAAGGGCGTTTTCTCTATAAGCCCGTGTTACATTTGGTATTCAGAGCTTCGGTTATCCTTGGCCCTGTGTGGCTAATTATTTTTTTTTTTTAGGAGTTTCTAGATCTTAGATCTAGAATAGCCTCAAGCTCTTTTAAGAAGAGTTGAGAAACTCCCAAGATCAAGAAATCGTCTTCAAGGATCCCAAGATCTAAAAGCTCTTTGAGCTTTAAGAGAATTAATTCTCTGCCCACCTTCTTGGTGGAAGACTCATAGCTATTTTTTCAATAGCAGAGTGATACAGATCTAAGAGATTTGTTAAAAGATTCCTCTTAACTTGCTCCTTGAGCAGTTTGGGGAACTTTCTCTATTTCCTTCTTGAAATAGAAGATTTATTTAACAACTCTTTTTCTGTACCTTTCTCTTTGTGAGAATATTGATCTATACAAAAGATTTCTGAAATATTTCAGAATCTCTTGCCTATCACCTTGAGTGTTAGAGGACCCTTATTGAGATCATATTTCTTAACAAAGAAGAAACACTCTCCTTAAGTTCCATTTTAACAACTCCTCTATGGCTACTCCTCATGAGGAAGCATCAAAGGAGGATGTCCCTATGACCTCAGTGGATGAACTGGAAGACTTTCCTGATCTTGACCTTAATGCTGAGGACGTCAGAGGGGACCTTCCTGAGGAAGAGGAAGAAGCACTGGGAAACCAGGAGGAGAATGGAGAACAGGAAGGGCTTGATGATCTCGGCATGGATGACAACTTTCCGGAGGAGTTTGAAAAACTTCAATCCACGGTGGCCGAGCAAGCATCTTCCTTGCTGCAGCAGAAACGACGGGTCAGTGAGCTTTAGACTCAGCTTGCTGAGCAGAATGCCTCAATGGACACGATCAAAGCTCAGCTTAACAAGGTCACTGCCGAGGCTCGTCAATTTAAGAGATCTCTTGGCCTCAAGGCCAACTAGATCAAGAGCCTTGAGGATACTTTGCAGCAGCTCAATGCTACGTGCATTAACCTTGAATCGACTTGCACGACGCTGCAAGCGCAGTATAGGGAGCTCAGGAGGGGCGGTATTTATCGCCCCCCTCCTAACAATGGGCAGCCTTCTACTTCTGCCGGAGCTCCAACAGAGCAGCCAATCTCACCTGACGCACCCGCATTTGGGTTGCTCCCCACTGCCTTGCCAAACTTCATTCATGGCAAGACGAATGTGGAATCCTGGCTTCATCATGTGGAGGAATTCCTTTCCATCCACAACGTGCGCCCCGATGCACGCGTTATTGCTGCTACAGGTGCTCTCGATGAGACTGCTCGTAACACAATCTACAGCACTATGAAGCTTGCCGGGGCAACGTCGGCCACCTTCGGATGGTCCGATTTTTGCAGCGCGATGAAAGACGCTTTCCATGTGCAAAAGACTGACCTGGAAGTGCGCAGTCGCATCAAGAGCATGCAGTGTGGAACTCGCACTGTGCAAAAGTATGCCAACGAGTTCGAACGGACTATGTTACTCCTGACAGTCGCTCTTGTTGAATAGAAACAGTAGGGCCTAGGCTTAGTAGCCTAGGCCAAAGGGAGTCGAGAGAGTTTAGGCAAAGAGAGAATGAGTTCACTATTGAGCGAGGTACAAATAGCAAACAAAGCATGCAAAGAAGGTGCACCACCAACAAGTTTATAATAACTACACTAACTACAGCTACAGGCAGTTACAGATATATTCTAACAGCTCTCACTGAGAACGAGACAATGTCGTCGTTCTATGAAGGCTTGCCCCAGTGGCTTCGCGAGAGGCTTGTGCTGGGCAGGAACCAGTACACTACGTACAAGGAGCTCAAGACAGTTGTCATTGATCTTGACGTGAGCGTCCGCACCTGCCTTAATGCCGCCAAGGGTCACTTGCAGAGCGGGGGTGAAGGCCCTAGTGGCCAGAACAATGCGGCGCATCCTTCTAATGGAAAGGGCCCTTGGAAGAAGAGGCCTTTCCATCCGCAGAGCCAGCAAAATGGGCCACAGCCTAAGAGGCCCTTTCACAAGGGTGGCCAGCAGAGGAACGGAACTCCTTTTTGCACCTATTCCAAGAAGATGGGTCATACGAAGGGGCAGTGTCGTACGCTGAAAAGGTCTGAGGATTCTGGCAAGCCGCAGCAGGCGAACAAGAAGGGAGATGCAGGACCTTCAGGCTCGCGCCAGGATTTTCACAAGTCCAACTAGGGTGTGGGTACCTAGCTGGACAGGTAGATCGAGGTGATGAAGCTTACGTCCTTCGTGACGATGATCTATTAAAGCTAGAGAAACTTGCTGAGTGCAAAATCTCTTGTTTGTTTGCTTTTTCTTTGAGTGAAAATTCTGTTTTTCTACCTCGATTGCACCCACTTACACACCTATCTACCGAAACACTCAGAGATAAGTTCTCTGTAATTTGCTGCAGCGTGGATGTGTTGCCTTCCATAATGGAATTGGTGGGTCGTTGTACCCAAAAGCACCCACTGACTTCAGTCAGTCTGGTGAGTCGCACAATCAAAGGCAAACATTTTCCCATGCTTAAGGGATGGACGGTACTTGCCGCATGGGATAAGAGATATCACATGTGGTAGCCTGACAGCCGATCTTATGGTCGAGCAAAGCACAATGTCAAGGCATACTACCTCCCACCAACTCGCATTGTTGCATGCCCCATTCGACCAAAGCATCAACAGAACCTGTTGCTGGTGGGTCGCATAGACGGGGATGAAGCAAAGATTCTTGTTGATACGGGCGTGACTGTTTCTCTTTTCGATGAAAACAGAGCCACAAGCCATGGGGTCCTCGTTGAAGGACCGTCTTGCCCCATTCGTCTTGGCGACGATCGAATCATCCCAAGCAAAGGGCAGACACATATCAATATGGAAATTCAAGGCTATAACGAGAACATCAATGTTTATGTCCTCCCATTACTGGCAAGCGTAGACCTAGTCCTCGGGATGGACTGGCTTCGAGCCAATGAGGTCATCCTTGACTTTCAACACAACACAGTAACTTTCACGAAAAACGGTGTTGTGGTTCGGTGGCATGTTCAAGGGGACGTAAACATCACTGATGTCCCACACTCCAATCGCCCCGACGTCCAGTTCGCCCTTGCAAATCAATTTGGGCAAGATGCAAAATCAGCTGATACACTTTTTGTTGTACAACTAGAGGAAACCACACAATCGTCTCCTGAGATCGAGGATTTTCCTCCTCAGATGAAGGCTCTGGCAGAGGACTTCAAGGAAGTTTTCGAACCGATTCCTGATGGACTCCCTCCAGACCGCGCTGTGGGTCATACCATTCCTGTGGAGCCTGGAAAGGCACCACCGTTCAGACCTCTGTATCGCCTCAGTCCAGCTGAGTACGAAGAGGCTAAGCAACAAATAGAAGATTATCTGAAAAGGGGATGGATCAAACCCAGTGCATCACCATACGGAGCACCAATCTTGTTTGTTAACAAGAAGGCGGAGGGCTACGCCTGTGCGTTGAATATCGCGCCTTAAACAAGATCACAATTAAGAACAGATATCCGCTGCCTCGCATTGAGGATCTGTTTGATCGTCTCCAGGGTGCCCAATGGTTTAGCGCATTGGACCTCGCACAGGGGTACCATCAGTTGCGCATCACCAATGATGATGTACCCAAAACAGCGTTTCGCACGCCGTTTGGGCATTTTTTATGGCGTGTGCTGAGCTTCGGCCTGACCAATGCACCGGCCTCATTTCAGAGGGCGATGAATGATGTCTTTCGTGAGGCGTTTGGTCAATTTGTCCTGGTTTATCTCGACGATATATTGGTCTATTCCAAGACCAAAAAGGAGCACACAGAACACCTAAAATGGGTGTTAAACAAACCACGAGAGCATAAGTTCTACGCTCGCTTGTGGAAGTGTCACTTCTATAAGCGCGAGTTAGAATATCTGGGACATCTCGTGGGGAACAGTGGATTGAAAGTCGATCCCAAGAAAGTGGCGGCTGTTGAGAACTGGCCCGTTCCACAGGACGCGGGTCAAGTCAGGTCCTTTTTAGGCTTGGCCAATTATTTTCGCCGTTTCTTGGAAAATTATTCAACCATCGTTGCCCCATTGACCGCACTTACTCGAAAAGGTACTGTGTGGGAATGGACCAGACAATGCCAAGAGGCATTTGAAGCGGTCAAACAAAACTTGACCAATGCTCCCGTTCTGGTATTACCAGATCCAACAAAACCCTACGAGGTAGTCACTGACGCCTCAACGGTAGGGATTTCTGCAGTCCTCCTACAAGAAGGACGTCCTATGGCATACGAGAGTAGAAAGCTCTCCCCGGCAGAGCAGCGCTATATGACTTCTGAACAAGAACTGTTGGCA